TCATGAGGCTACTCCATGCCAGGACGCAGTGAGCAGTGACAACAGCAGACCCCAGCCTCTCGGAGCTCCCTTCCACCAGACGGATGGCAAACCCACATGAGGGAATAGGCAAGAACTTCCCTGAATGTGGCGCATGCTCTCCATCTGTCTTCTTGTTCATTGTCCCCCGTGAGGTCCCTGAATGTCACCCCACGAAGCTGGGAGGGCTTGCTATATCCCTAGCACTGACAGGGCTGGGCACTGAGGGAGTGTTGGTTGCTAGTTGCTGAGTGAATAAATGGGAGTCGGTGAGATGGGCAGCCAGGCCGGGAGCTCTGTGATGCCTCCTCACACTGGCCTCAGCTGCTCGGGCAGGTTAGGTCCATTTACCAAATGGGCCGGGGGGCCCAGAAGGGAGTTCGGTCTGAGGTCACATGCAGTGAGCTGCAGGCAGGGCCAGACTAGACTCAGAGACTCCTGGCTCCTCATTCATTCCACAAATATTTACTAAGTGTTGTGCCCTGGGCAGACAGGATGGGGAAGACATTAGTTGGGGAGACAGACGGTAAGAGAACACACAGACGCACAGAATGTAATGCCAGGTAGTGATAAGGGTGCCCAGGAAGACGGGGAGTGAGTGTGTGTACTGTGGAGGTGTGCTCCAATCTGAAGGAGGCTGGGGAAAGGGGAGATGGAGCAAAGCCTTGAAGGAGGGGAGGGAGCAGCCATAGGGCTCTCTGGGGAGGCGTTCCAGACAGTGGGAACAGCCAGTGCGAAGGCTGGAGGGTTCTGGTCTGTTGCAGGAGCAGCAAGGAGGGGGGGAGGTGAAGCAGAGTAGGTGATGGGGGAGCAACTGGAGATGAGGTGTGGGGGGACCAGAGCAAGGAGGGCTCTGTAAGAAGTGGCCTTCCCTGTCAGTGAGCAGGGAGCCTGTGACTGGTCCAGGGATCTGACTTGCATTCTCAAAGGTGGGCAGAGCTGGACAGGAAGAGGGCCAGGGCCAGGGAGGGAAACCAGCTGGGGCCAAGGTGACATGTTAGCCTTGGATCAGGAGCTGCTGGTGGAGGTTGAGGCTGTCCACTGAGAGGGGCTACTCCTGACTCCACCAGGCCCCTCCTTTCTCAGAGCCTCCACCTGGGTCAGGGTCCCCAGGGTGGACATGCCAGTGCAGGCTCTGCCCCCAGGCCCTGCTGCCCAGGTGACCTCAGCAAACACCAAGGGTAGACCTGGGGGGGGGAGTAATTAAGAATGAGTGAGCCCCCATTGCCTGTGGCACAAACAGGTACCCAGCAGGGAAGGGGCAGCCCCAGGCCCAGGCAGAGCCTCTAGCCTTCTAAGGGGCAGCTGAGCCACAGGCCCTGGGGCTCCCTAAGGGGTGAGTTGCTGAGGCTTCCTGCCCCAGGTGGGGGCTGCCTGAACCCCTCCGACTGGGCTATGGGAGCAGCCAGGCTTCATGAACCTTTGCATTAAAGGAGAAAGTGGAGTCTCCTGTGAACTTGAAAGGCCCTGAGAGATTAGGGCCTGGACCAGGAGTGGAGACAGACCCAAAGAAGGGGTACAGTTTGACCAAGGCTACACAGTGAACCATTGGGACCTCAGCCAGTAATAATTAACCTGTCGGAGACCCTGTTTCTCTCTCTGTTAGCTCCACGAGGCAGGGACATTCGTTTGGTTCACCAATGTATCCGCGGCACTTAGAATATGGCCTGGCACAGAGCAGATGCTCCCTAAACATTAATCAGTCAGTCTGTAAATTGGGCTGATTACAGAGCTACTGCCTAGGGTCGTCGTGAGGCTCAGACTGTTGTGTGGTGCCAGGCCCCTAGTGGGCACTGGGCAGGTTTGGGCTGTTCTGAGTTTATCTCGACTCCCAGCCAGGACGCTTTCCAGCCTGTCAGGGGAGGCCTTGGACGAAGGAGGCACCCACGGGGAGCTGGAGCTGATACAAATCTTTGGGCAGACTGGTGTTCCAGCTTGCTGTGACTGGCAGAGCCTGGGGGCCCCAGGGCCACAGTGCCCTCCTTCCCTCCCCAGCCTTGATGCTCGGGCCCGAAGGTCCTGACTGAGCCCAGGGCTTCCCTCTGACTGCACAGGCTCCAAGTGAGCCCACAGTGGAGGCAGAGCAAGCAGGAAATGGTTCCTGGGCCGCAGGCCCTCCAGCAGGGCGGTCAGGAGCTCAGAGGGCTACTGGCTCCTCGCTCCTTCTCAGTCAGTCCTGACGGGGGATCCGGACCCCTGAGTCCCCTCCACCAGCCACTAGTGCTCCTGACCAGGAGGGTGAACCCTCCCACTTCATCTCCCTCAGACCCAGGGCCTGAAACAGCCCCAGCCCAGCCCCGGCCAGCCTCCGTGCCTGCAGCTTAGGGACCCTTTCCACAGGGGGCTCAAAGGGAGGATTCCCAGGTGGCAGCAGCCCTTGAGGTCACTGTGGCAATTCTTCTGCCCCTGGGAGGATTTGTCCAATGGACCAGCATAGACCAGAGAGGACGGCGGGTGGGTACAGCATGTTCCTGCCGTCTCAAGCCCTTTCCAACACCCCAAGGTGCAGTCTTGCTTTAGCTAGGCCCTACTCTGAGGCCGTCCCGCCTTCCTCTTCCTCTGCAGCTTGTCATTGCCTTGGCCCACTGCTGCCAGAGCCTCCCTGAGTGGGATCGAGTTTCCCACTGGTAGGGCTGGAGCCCTTCCTCCCTCACCACTGCCAGGGAGAGCTGAGCCCTTGTGAATAATTCACGGTGCTTCACAGCCGGGGTGGGCCAGGGAGGCTCACGAGAGAGTCCCAGCCTCCAGAGCCGGGCTGCTTGGGTCCGATCAGGCCCTGTGGTCTGGGGCAGCCTGAGCCTCTCCTCTCCCCAGCTCCCAACCCTGGGGTCCCCAGTCTTATGGAGCAGAAGTCTCCACCTCCAAAGTAGGAGGCTAAGTGAGCACCAACCCCCAACTCCCCTGCCAGTGGGCCCCGGCCCAATCCCCAGCCACCCCCTCCTGCCTGAGCCCAGTCTGGCAACTACACAAAAGCACCTCCTTATCAGCCGGGTCACACGGCGCTGTGGGAACAGAGCCGAGTCCTCTGTCCACTGTCCTGAGATTCATGGCGGCCTCTCAGGGGCTGGCGGCTCATCAGCCCAGGACATCTGGCCACAGAGTCAGCACTGGGGCCCAATCACGGCCAGCACCTGGCCTGACCTGGGAGGGGTCAGGATCCCCAAGCCCCAAAGCCCATGAGAATGTTCCATGGCACAGCCAGAGTCTTTCTAAGGCTGGGATTCCAGCCCATGGGGGCTCATCGTAGGCCCAGGCTTCTCCACGAGGAGGGCCTCAGAGCCAGCCTGGGGCTTCACCCCTACCCCTCCTGCCTAAGTTCCTCATTGGCACTTCCAAGGGGACTCAGAGCCCCCTCAGTTCACATCATTTGGGCTAAGTTTGCATCGCCATCACCTTGGCTTTCTGGGGCCCATTATGTGTGATGGGGGAGGGTGACCACAGCCCATCCTTCCCCTCTTAGGACCTCAATGTCCTCTGCGTTGAGTGAAGGGGTGGGACAGGAGCATCAGAATCACCGCAGTGGGGCTGGCAGCATGTCATAGGTGCGGCTCCCAGCCCCAATCTGGAGAATCTAACTTGGGAGTCTGGAACCAAGTCCCCCAGGGGCCCTGATGGGTGCCAGGTTGGGAGCCTGCACTCGAGGGTCTCTGGGGCCCGCCGACTCTAAATCCGACTGGCTTTGACGTGACTCAGACCTTAGCTTGTCTGGAAGCAGAGAATTCACGCCAAAGTGGTGCCAAGTGGCCTCTGCAGGGATGGCTGAGAAGAGAACCCCTGGCCCACAAGGCGCACCTGCTGGTGTCCCACTAACCAAACCAAGGAACCCCTGGCTCAGTGAGAACAAGGCAGGCTCAGCCTGCCCATCCTGGGCTGAGGGGATGACTGCTGCCCGCCTGGGGTTCTAGGGCTGCCCTACATCCACGCAGTGTGCCTGTGCCCAAGACGCTACCAGCCGCAGCCACTGTGCCATCAGGATATGGGGCCAGACTGGCCTCCTGCCTGCTCTCTGGTGGCCAGTGACCCTACAGGCATGCTCAGGAGTAGAGCCAGTGGTGAGGACAGACCCTCTCACCTTGTGACTGCTCTCCTCCCGAGGCTGGGTCTTCTGTCACCGCCTATGTCCCAGGCACCCACTTGAACTGACAAAGGTCAGAGCCCCCATCTGTTGGCTGCCTGGGGCTACTGGTGTCCTACCCCCTTAGACAGGGTCTGGGAGCTTTCTCCTGAACCTGCCTCCCCACAGGTGAACCTAAGATGTGGCTGCCTCCCTCCTTCAGGATGCCCCATGACTCCTTGCTCTGCATTGAGCTCCATTCTTCCACATTCCCCACCTCACCCCTGGCAGCTCCCAGCCTACTGCTCAGCCGCTTTCTCAGACTAGCCACTCAAGCCAAGGGCCCCAGGAGGTTTGGGAGCCCCACTCCCCTTAGTAGTGGGAGTGGCTGAGGGGCCACAGGAAATAAGAAGCTGCTCTCTGGAAGGCCAGGGAGCTGTGGGGCTAGGAGGTGGGCTGGGGGTCTGGGTGGGCAGCTCTCTCCCTTCACTGCTTAATAATTGACATAACTCCTCCTCCTCCTTCTTGACTAAGGGTCTAGGAGGGGCTCCTGTCTCTTCACCTCTACCTTCCAGTTAGAACAATCTTGCAAATTGGCACAGGTCAGAGCTAGAGAGAGCCACCTTCTGCGGGCTATGAGCATCCTGGAGGGGAGCAAGCTCGTGTGATCCTGGCCTGTATGCCCAGCCTCCCAGGTGCAGCTGCATGCTTGGGGAGTGCTGGCTGGCAGGGTTCTGGGGCAAGTGGCTGCCAGGAGGGGAGAAATTTCAGCTTGGGTAGTGCTGTCTCTGGCCTGGTCCTCTGGCCTCTGGGCATTTCTGGAAGTGGTAATTCCCCTGGGAAGCTGGAGGGGCATGGCTAACTTCAGGCATCCCCCAGAGGCCTGGACCGTCCCACCCAGCAGCCCCTTGAAGAGGGGGGTCCTTACTCAGGGTAGTGCCTGATGAGAAGCCTCAGGGAGGGGAAGTCTCCTTTGGCGGCGGCATAGTGGATAGGCAGGGCGCCCATGTCTGTGGCCACAGTGGGATCCCCACTGCCATGATGCAGCAGCCAGTCCACCACCTCCGGGTGGCCGAAGCGGGCAGCCAGATGCAGGACTGTGGCACCAGAATTGTCTTTGTCCTGTGGGAGGAGAGCCCATTAGTTCTGAAGCCTTGTCCTGCCCCGACCTGTGGCTCAGACTACATCCTGTATCCCACCAGCCACAGGGGCAGTTCTGTCCTCGGGCACCTAATTGGCCCTGTTTGAACTTCAGCCCATAGGCAGCACCACCATGCCATCCACTCTGGGCTTTCGAGGGCCTGCAGGTCATGACTGTGACATGCCCGCGCACAGTAGGCTTTCAGGGTGTGGCACCCTTGTCCTCATCCCAGCAGGAGCACCTGTCACCCAAGTGCTCAGGGAACACATAAGGAGCAAGAGAGAGTCACTGGGCCAGGAAGGGTGGGCTGTTGGGGCTGCACCAGGCTGGCATCAGGATCGTGGGAGGCACTCCCTGCATCCGGCTCTTGTCCCCTCCCTCTCCCCCTCCCCAAGTGTCACATGGGAAGAGGCCTGGGCTTGGTGCACCTCCAAGAACCCAACCTCAGCAAGGAGAACTGCCCCTCCCCCAAGCTGATCCCTGCTCCGCTGGGAACAGGCTGTGTTCTTGCCCTGTGGAGGAGGAGACTTCTGGGTACTGGTGGGCAGGGCCTGGGCAGTCAGCCAATGGTGGCAGGTGTGGGTTAGAGGCAACTCCTAGGAGGGGCTTGGGCAAGACCCCCATCCCAGGCACCCAGAAGGGGTGGGGCCAATGATGGCCCAGAAGTGCTGAACGTGTCATCTGTGAACATCCAGGTGTGTGTGTCTGTTGCGGGAGGAGGTTGGCAGGTGCTGCTTATGTGACCTGGGCAAGGAGGAGAATGACTGAGAACCCAGAAGTCTGGACTGAGCAGCTGGTGAGTTTGAGAGAGTGGGCATTGGTTCTAGGATAGAAGGAGCTCACAGTGCCAAGCACCTGGGATGACGGAGAGGTGGGCAGGGGCCAGGAAAGCAGCTGGGGCAGCAGTGAGAGGTGGGCACAGTTTACTAGGATCAGGGAAGTGAAGCTCCTCTGCCCCTCTGCCCCGAGAGAGGGCCCTGTGGGGATAGGTATGGCCCAGGCAGCTTGAGGAAGGTGAACCTCCATGGCAGGAGAACCTCAGAGGCTGCTGTAAAAATGCGAAAGGAAGAGACGAGCAGAGGGGAGGGGCTTGGGCATGGCTGGTAAGTCCTCAGTCAGGCTGTGGGGGTGGGGGGTAAACAGGCTGCGGGGCCAGGAAGGAGGCAGAGTAAACAGCCCATAGGAAGCCGAAGACAACGCTGAGACTTCTCAGTGTGCTGGAAGGCCCAGGGAGGACCAGAAGACTGGTCCAGTCTGTTTCCTGAGCCCAGGGGACAGGACTGGCTAAGAAGTAACCCAGACAGGACCACGGTGAAGTATGCCTTGAGCCCCAGCTTTTGAGAAAGGCCCTTGCTTCCCACTGGCCTCAGGGACTGTGTCTGAGGCTCCAGGGGGTCCTGTTGGCTCTGGGCCTCTGGGTGGGGGTGGCACTAAGGTGAGGACTCCAGGCCTATGGGCTCTGACTTGACCCTGAGGCTCCAACAGCTATGTCGGCCCTGGGAGCCTCATGTGCTGTGGCCCCCACCCTAAAGCTGCTTATCTCTCCAGGCTGAGCAGGGCCAGGGATCAAGGTCATCCTCCCCCACATACACTTCTGCCCCAGCGCGCCCAAGCCCGCTTGATAAGCTGGGCATAAGGCCACCTGCTCCTCTACCTCCTCTGCATGGCTAGGGAGGTTTCTGGCCAAGGCTGGACACCAGGATCAGGGAGGTATGCCACATCCCAAATGTGTGGGCATGGACCATGTGCCAGGAACTCCTGATAACACACCCAACCAGGAGATAAGGAGCTGGGCAATCTCCTAGGAAGGGTGGCAAAGGGGGCCTTGCCATCCTAAGGGCAAAGTGAGGGGGGAGGGGTCTAACCATCCTTAGGGCACAGCAAGCTCAGAGTCACCCCGCCTCCTCTCCTTCTACATCCAGTTAACCCAGTGGTCTTGCTAAGGGGAGAATCAGTTCTGGTTCCTCCCTCCATTGGCTTTCCCCCACATCCAGACTATCATCCGAATTCTTAACCCCAGCCTATGAGATCCTCTAGGACCTGCCCTGGTGGCTTCTCCCACCCTCACCCCACTCCAAACATGCTCGCCTCCTTGCTGTTCCTACAGCAGGACAAGAATGTGTACGCCTCAGGGCTTTGTACTTCTTGTTCCTTGTGCTCGGAACTCTCTGCTCATCACTTGGCCACCTCCTTCTCATCAGCCAGGACCCCCTCAGGGGTCACTCTTCAGAGAGGCCTCCCCAAGTCACCTCGCCCAAGCAGCTAGCTCCCTGACACTCTCTGCCACGTGGCCTAGCAGTACCTGATGTACCTGATTGACTTTTTAGCCTGTGAGTTTGCTGTCCACTGCCCCATGGACTGGCAGCTCTAACAGAGCACACCTGAATCCCCAGGCCTGGTACCTGCAGGATGCTCTCCCTCCAGCAGGAACGAGCACGGGAGCTACACATCAGGGCCCAAGCTGCCTTTTCCTCCAGCTCAGGAGTGGCCAGGCTTATCTCAGCCTGGGGACAGCTGTGTGAGGCCAGGTGGGGTCTCCAGGCAGGAAGACTCAGGCTGGCCTGGAGAAGCAACTCAGAGCTGGGAGGTCAGAAGGCACTGATGTTCCGGGGGTCAGCTGAGGTCCTGGGGAGGCCCCCATTGACCAGGCCCGCCACCTGCCACCCCTGCCCCAGACCTGATCCTGGAGATCATGGGCTTCTGACTCTGCTGCCCAGGCCCTTTGTGCCCCCGCCCCCTCTCCAGGACTCTCTCACTCCTGTTTAACTACTAGCCCAGTCTGGCCCAGTTCCCTTCTGGTTCCCCGTCACTCAGGTGCTATTCTCGGCAGCGGCCAGGGCTTGCCAGGGCGTCTGCGTCTGCCGGGGCCCTCTCAGCCAGGGGAGCCCACCCCATCCCAAGCACTCTGGCAGGAGCTCCGAAGCAGGCTCAGCTGGGAAGTGCCCAACTCCACCCACCCTTGAGCCACGCAGGGCGCCGGGCTGGGGCCAGAACTCTTTCCTGAGGAGGAAGCCCCAGGGCGCCCGGTGAGCGGCGCAGACCCACCTGCACCCTGCAGCCGCCCTGCGAGAGCAACCACTGCAGGCAGGCGAGGTGGCCGGTGGCGGCGGCATCGTGGGCCGGCGTGGCGCCGTTGCGCGCGCGGGCCGTGGCGGGCAGGGCGGCCTCCTCCACCAGGAAGCGCAGGCAGTGCAGCTTGCCGGCGCGGGCAGCGTGGTGCACTGGCAGCGCGTCCAGCGGATCGCGCAGAGAGGGCCCCAGCAGGCCTGCGCCCTGCAGGGACTTCAGCACGTCCAGCTCGCCCAGCCGCGCTGCCTGCAGCGCCCGCTCCAGGGCCATGGTGCCGCCCGCGGCGCCGCGACCCGCGCTCAGCGCGTTTCCCCGGGCGCCATGCGCCTGTCTTCGGGCACCGGGAGAGCCCACGAGGTGCGCCCGTCGGGGCCCTGCGGGTCAGGGAGGCGGAGCGGCTGTTGGTCCGGCCTCTGCTCCGCGCTGCCTCGCCCGCTCCGCTCCGCCTCCGCCTCCGCTGCGCTCTGGGGCCCGGGCCCCGCGGGCTCTCGGCTTAAGCCTCGAGCCCGCCCCCCGTGCCGCCTCCGCCCCGCCCCTCCCCGCAGGCTGGATGGCCGCGCCGCCGGCAGGACTCAGGCGACAAAGGCAAGTGAGCCCGGGCTCTTCTTTCCTAATTTACTTCGCGTGAAAATGGAGAGCCCGGAGAGGCCCAAACTGGGTTCGAATTCAAGAGCTGTCCAGGCGCTGGCGAGCTGAGCCCCCAGACAAATTCACTCATCAACCCAGTGCCCACTATATGCTGTTCCAGGCGCTGGGGATACGAGCCAGCAAACAGTTACCGCAATTCCAGAAAGTGACAAGTGTCATCAGAACAGGAAAACGGGGTGATAGGGAGTGAGTTGTAGAGGCTATGTGGGTGGTCAGGGAAAAGTCCATCTGAGGGGGTGCAGTGGGCTGGGTTTTGAGTGGTAAGAACCAGCGTTCCAGGCAGGGAAGACTGCAAGGGCAAAGACCCTGAGGCAGGAACAGGCCTAACAAGTCCCTAAGGGGCTCTGGGTGTATGCCCCAGTGGGTGCAATGGATGCTGGGCTGTCAGCCCTCCTGGGTCCCTCCAGACCCCAAGAACTGCCCTCAGAGCCTCTCAGAGGGAGGGAGAGAAGGAGGAAAGGGCGGGAATACCTGCTGTGCTCAGGTATCTGGATCTGGAGGCCGGGGGCTCAGAGAGCACCCAGAGTGGCTCTCTGGTGGGGGAGGGGCTCAGGGTAGGGGAGTTAACCATGAGCTTGAAGGTCTGGGGCTGCCAAGCCAAGAGAAGAGAAAGAGTTGGGGGCAGTGCAGAGACACAGCAGAGCAGTCCCCAGGGAGCAGAGCCAGGTCCTGTCCTCCAGGCCCCGGGCCGGGCCGGGAGAGCACACCTGCTCCAAACCGCCCTGCCTGCATGGCCGGAAGCTCTTTGTGGGAGCCGGAGGGAGGCACAGCCGCTGGACACAAGGAAGAGCTGCCAGAGGTGGGGGCTGCGTGGCTGTGGGAGTGCAATCAGCACATCCGGCAGCCTTGAAACATCCTGTGCCTCTCCTTTCCCACCCTTTACCAGCCTCCCCCCTCCTCCCCACTGGAGCCGCTTGAGAGCCTGGCTCTGGGCTGTTTCACCCAGCCCTCACTGGGCAGCACTGGGTGGCCCTGGAAATGCTGTAGAGTGAAGCTGCTTCCAAAAACAGTGGGAGTCCTAGTGTGGGACTCTGGTACTGCCACAGATACCATTCCCTGGGACCGCCAGCTGGCGGCGTCATGCACAATGGCCTCCTGCGCTCCAAGGCCCCTTGGTAAACCCAGAGCTGCTATGCCTGTGTGGCCAGGTAGGTTTCCAGGGACTTCCATTCGGCTGGACTGGCCTCGCTCCCTCCATGGGACCTATGAGGCTGCTGGGATCTGGGACCCCTCCCCAGCAGTTTTCGGACAAGTGGAGGGAGGAGTCTTATCCTGGCAGCCTTCTTGCTTTGGCTGGCTCTCACTGCCCTCTGGAGCCACTCTTCTCTAGCCCACCCAGCGGCAGGTGCACCCTGAGGCTTGTAGAGCGACAGAGGTGCTGAGGGACAAAGAGCTAAAATGGCTTGTCTTGGGTGTCCCTCACATGCCTCCTCCATTAGTAAAAATCTCTGTGATTCATGTCCTTCACTCCCAGTGTGGTTCCCCTGCTGTGGACATCCTCTTCTATCCACATGGTCTTGTCATTGTTCGGGCCAGCTCCGGGTGATGTGCTGCTGCTACGGTGGTCAGCGAGGCAGAGAGATGCCCCTGAGCCTCTCCCACTGCTGCTAGGGACATCTCCGGGAAAGTCATGTGTGAGCACCCATCTCTGCTGACCATCTTCTCAGACTCCTTTCAGGACACCTCTCAGACTCAGGCCGGGATCCCGGCCTTCACTATCCTCTCTAGGCTCCACTGGTCCACCCTGTGCTCCCCATCAGCCCTAGAGGGCCCACTCCAGGAGGGACACATTTGTGGAAGCCCCACCACTTACCAGGCACTATGCCAAGCTTCACCCACATGTTGAATCCCCACAGCGATGCCAGGACAGAGTTACAACCACTATCCCCCCTTTACAGCTGCAGAAACTGAGGCAGGGGGAGGTTTTTGTTGTTTGTGGTGGTGGCTTGTTTTTGTTTTTTAATGTACCTTGCCTGAGGTGACACAAATGGGAAAGGGCAAAGCTCACTCTGCTATCTGTCCACCCCAGTTAGGTGGAAAGCACCTGTTCAGATCTCTCTCCCCACCCAAGGGCAGGAACCAGGGGTGGAGTGTCTCCCTATTTTACCCTAAGTGACCCCACCTTCCATAAAGCCTGCACTCCAACACCCTGCCCACTCAGTTGTCTTACCTAAGTTCACCTGCTTATAAATGACTCCTTCCTCCAGGTAACCAGCAAAACCCCCAGAATCCTTTGTTTGAAGGAAATGGTGGGTTACCTTGTCAAAGTCTTTCACGGCAAAGAGAGAATGGAGAAGAGACTTTTAAAATCTGGGGTAACTGGCACTGAAAAGAGAGTTTTCTCCCCTGCCCTCCAGCCTTCAAATGATGGCCCACAGGCACGGAGGAGGATGTTCTAGGAGCAACCTTCCTCCTCAGTCTGTTTCCCCAGGAGCTAGTGTCGGGGTCTCTCAGCAAGGATGCAGATGCTGGTGCATGGTGGGCTTGTGGGCAGAGCTTAATGAGCCAGTGTGTGTGGCTGAGAAGGGGGCTGGGGAGGGCATGTGGGGCATCAGTGAGTGATGCACAAAGTCCTTTTCTGAGCCCTTAAAGAATAATTAATTAGCTTGGAGGAGCTGGCCTATAGGGATCCTGGGCTCAATGATGCGTGGGGGACAGGGGCTCAGGCACCCTCAGACCCTACCTGGCCAAATGTGTTGAATAATTTATTCTCATTATTAGGACCGTTTTGGGGATTAATGGAGGTGAGGGCTGAAAAGCGCTTAACATACAATACAGCACATGCTCCATAAATGGAGGGACAGGTAAGGGTGGCCTGAGCTCCAACTCGCCCAGGCTGCTCCAGGCCCCTTTTTTTCTTTTTCTTCTTCTTCTTCTTTTTTTTTTTTTGAGGAAGATTAGCCCCGAGCTAACATCGGCTGCCAATCCTCCTCTTTTTGCTGAGGAAGCCTGGCCCTGAGCTCACATCCGTGCCCATCTTCCTCTAGTTTATATGTGGGACGCCTACCACAGCATGGCGTGCCAAGCGGTGCCATGTCCGCACCCGGAATTCGGGCGGGCGAACCCCGGAACGCTGAGAAGCGGAGCGTGCGAACTTAACCACTGCGCCACCGGGCCGGCCCATCCAGGCCCCTTCCTTGGTGGGCACGCTGGTCTTCTCGGGCCCTGCTGGGGCGCAGAGGTTTGGGCGGCGGGGGAGGGGGCCCGTCCAGCACGCTGGACAGCGCCCGTCGGCTCCGCCCCACGGTTCCTCCTCCCGGCCTGGCTCGGTGGGTCCAGGCCGGCGTCCGCCTGAGGTTTGGTCGGGCCATCCACAGCGCGGTCCGCCAGGCTGGCCGTTGCCCCGCCAGCCGGTTGGGGGAGGGCAGCTCCGAGCAGATGGGCGGGGGACGCCCAGCCAGTTTGCTGCAGCAACGGCCACGCGGCGCGGAGGCGGGCCCCGGCGGGCCACTGGGGCCGCGGCGGGCAGCGGTGGCCGGCACCCAGGACCGCCTCGCTCCGCCCGTCATGTGAGCTCCGACTGTCCCGTGGGAGGGAACCCGGAGCTGGAGCCACTTGAAATGAAAATTAGCTCTGAAGGCTCCTGAGTTGCCTCTTCTCTGGGCCTCAGTTTCCCCCCTTCAAAATGGAGGACGGGGAAACCAGATAACCTCTAATTCGGGGGGGAGCCAGACGAATCTATGAAGTCCTCAGAGCCCTGGGCAGGCGTCCAGCCACGGGAGCCCCAGTCCTGCCCTGGCCAGTTCCCAGCCTCTAGAGCCCAAGCAAGTTGAGACCTCTCTCCGGGACTCGGTTTCCCCTTCCAGTTCAGCCCTTCAGCCGCGGAGCAACTAGTGGAGCGAGTCCCTCCCCGTAGGAGAAACTCGCTTGGGAGCTCCCTGAGGCCGGGCCTTGGGGTCCCGCCGCCGCTGGGTCCCCTGCCCGAGCCTAGGGCGGGGCTCGGAGGAGGCGCTGAGCCAGGATGAATGAAGCAGGGTGGCGCTGGACAAGGAGGGACTCCAGCCTGAGCGAGGCGAGGCCTGGCCCCACCCGCGCCCCTCCTGCCCGCGGAGTCCGGGCAGCGATGGCTTCGATGGCGCCCACACACACCCCTGCAAGTGCTGGGGGGCGCCGCAGGCCCGCGACCCCGCAGCACAGGGGATGCGAAGGTCTGGAGCGGGATCCCGGGGGCTCTACCGTCCCCACTCCTACCCCCACCATGCGGAGGAACAAAGGCGGGGGTGGGGCCCCGAAGGCGGCCTGACTCCGCGGGGCGGGACCCGCTGGGCGGGCGACGCCGCCTCCTTAAAGGCGGGCTGCGGGGGTGGCGCGCACTCCTCTGGCTCCTGCTCGGGCAGAGCACTGAACCCGCTTCCCGGCTTCGGTCTCTGCTCCGCCTCCGGGCGGGCGCAGGTCTCCCACTCGCGGAGGCCCCCAGAGGCGCCGCTTTCCCGCCGAGCATGGGGCTGCCTCGGAGGACCGGGGACCGAGCGGAGCTGCGCAAGGTAGGAGCCTGGGACTGGGGACTGGGGGCGGAGCTGCCGGGGCGAGGGTTTGAACTGCGACCCTCGTAACCGCGGCCTCCGCGCCCGCCCGCAGAGCCTGAAGCCGCTGCTGGAGAAGCGCCGCCGCGCGCGCATCAATGAGAGCCTGAGGCAGCTCAAGGGGCTCATCCTGCCGCTGCTGGGCAGGGAGGTGAGTGCTGGGGCGTTCCGGGGCCGGGGTGGGGGTCCTGGGGCGTGGAGCAGGAAGGAGGGCCGGCCGAGGTGCCCCTGCCCCAGGAACCGGCGAGGGGTCTACACGCGCCGACCAAGGCCGAGCCCAGGTGGGGCTGGTCCGGAGGAGCTGACCAACCCCGTGCCACAGCGCGCCGGCCTCAGTTTCTGGCAAGAGAGTAGTGCTCACGGAAGCCTGCTGGAACTCTGTCTTGTCTGTTTCTCTGTCCCGCTCCTTCGTGGCTGGGCGCAGAGCTCCTGCTACTCGAAACTGGAGAAGGCGGATATCCTGGAAATGACCGTGCGCTTCCTACAGGAGCTGCCTGCGTCCTCCTGTCCCGCGGCAGCGCCCGGTGAGTGACCCTGCCCCGCCCCTCCCCCAGTCCTGCCCCGCGTCCCGTACCCCACCCTGCGCCTCATGCCTCTCTCCGTCCGTCCGCAGCGCCCTCCGACAGCTACTGTGAGGGTTACCGGGCCTGCCTGGCGCGCCTGGCCCGCGTGCTGCCCGCCTGTCGCGTCCTGGAGCCCGCCGTGAGCGCTCGCCTGCTGGAGCACCTGCGGCGGAGGGCAGCCGGTGCCAGCCCCAATGGCAGGCGCGCTGGGGACACCTGCTGCCCGCCCTCGCTCTCCCCGCCACCCCCGCCCGCACCCTTACCGCCTGTGCCTCCACGTGGCCCCGGCCTCTGGCGGCCCTGGTAGCCCCCTGGCGGGTCCACGGACCCTGCTGATATTGAGGGACCTGCAGCACTGGGCAGACTGAGAAAGCTCTTGGTGGCAGCTGCTGTTCCCATCACGAGGGACCGGACCAGCCCAGCACACACAACCAGCCGGAACCGGATGTTTGCGGTCTGTGTGGCTGACTGAAGGCCATGGGGACTCAGCTGGAGGAAATAAGGGGAGAACCCCAGTTTCACTCTCAACTTGGGGGTGTCTGGGCCGGGGGAGAAGGGGCTGTTGGCTGCCAAGGGAGAAAGAAGCCCCTCATCCCAGCTGGGGCTCTAGAACTGGGCCAGCCACAGCCACCTGGGCAGCTGACACACCTGCCCCAGTGCTGGCACCAGCCCAAGGGCTGGGCCGGGAGCTCACCTGAGCCAGTTTCAGCCATCTGCTCTGACTGATCGCTCCCCTTCCAGCCCTGCTTGGGCCTGCCTCCTCACCAGCTCAGCTTGGGAACCTCTGGGCACACAGCAGCAATGGCCTGAGGGCTGTGTACGCCGGGGAGCCATCACCTCCACTCCTGGGCTCTCCTGCCCAAAGCTGCCAATTATAGGGACAGGATGCAGCGAGGATTCTGTGTTGCTGGGCGTGGGGGCTTCGTTACGTGTCTTGAGAAGGATTTCTTTCCCCAAGCATTAACACCTATGTACGGCACACCAGGTCTGGTGATCTTCGGGTAGGAGGAAGGGGTGAGACGAGAGTGAGGGTGCCCTGTGGCCCATCGCTTTGAAGGGCCTGAGCCCAGCACAGAGCCGGCGCCAACATGAAGTGAGCAGGACCCATGTCACTGAGCAGCAGAAAGTGAAGGGATGCCAGCAGGTTAAGGAGCAGGAAACATCTTTCTCTTGCAAACTGCTCCCTGCTACTCATCAGGATGGGTTACTGGAAGCAACTTGCTCTTAAGACTTTTCTTCCTCCTCCATGGAAGCCAGGAGAGGCTGTGAAGACTCAGAGAGGGCTCGTGGATCCCAGTAGTGGGTGCCCAAGAGAAGGTGGGAGCACCTGCAGCCCTCTGTCCACTGTGCTCCCACCATTTCGTGGAGATTGCTGAGCATTCGCAGGAGGCTGGGAGTCCTCCCCTCAGTCTCCAGTCCAGCAGCCTGTTGGAGGGACCGGGGCTCTATGCGCACAAAGACAGAACTGACAGGGGTGGAGGTGTCACTAGATCGGACATAAACCGTGATGACCTAGGCACTGATTTGGGTGGCAGGATGTGGGGAAGCTGTGGGCATTATTGAAGAAGTCAATATTAAGACAACAGGGTGAGCCCCCAGCAGAGTGTGCTGTCCTTCCACCTCTCTGGGCCCAGCTGCTGGACTATAAGCTCTTGGAAGGCAGGGCTGGGGCCAAGTGCCCCTGTGTGTTCCCGAGGACCTCGGCACAGGTGGGTGCTCAATAAACATCATGAGCCAATGAACGGTGATGTGACTGGACCATGCTGTACTGAACCCCGGACAGTCTGGCTTTTGCCTCAACTCTCCCCACCCCATCCCTATTATCACTGTGAATGTCTGCTCCACCAAAGCCTGTGTCCCCAAGGACAAATGTAGGGGAGGGTGTGGAGAGCAGGGAGAGCAGTTTCCACCTGCAGGCCTACTTTCCTGAGCTGTCAGGAGCAGGTGGAGAAGGTAACAGGTAGCCAATGCCCGCCACATGAGTTCAAGTTTTCTCCTTGGGTCCAAGGCTCCACGTTGGGCAGCCTCCTTTTTCCTATAAACAGAAACTTTCAAAACAGGTTAAAACTCTGTAAGAACTGACCGGCCAGAGGCCCCTCTCCTCCTTTCGACCATATCTGTCACTTTTTGCTTCTAAGCCCTGTCTGAGTCTCCAGCTCTGTGACTCTTGTTGAGTTGACCCCGATCAAGCTATAATACAGGCAGTCAGGGAGGGGAGCATGTAGATAGGCCAGTGACTCATAGGGTCAGGCATTCTGGGGAACCTGAGCCACACAGTCCACCGGGCCCTGGCGGGGAGCAGAGGCATGCCCAAGCGGGTGAGGTTCTTGACCCAAGGCGAGAAACCAGTTTCCCAGCAGGGATGTACAAGCTGCCTAGAAGGTCTCAGCTGGTACTCTGAGCTGGGCTTGTAAAATAGGGACTCCAACAGCCTCCTCCACAAGGTACCTGCAGACACTTCCTCCTGGCAGCTTCCCAGAGCCCTATCTCATGGCCGAAGGGGAGCACTGGGTAGCGTGGGCTTTTACTGTGTGGGAGGGAGGCTGCCTCATTCAGAGGGACATGTCATGGTCTTTAACAAGGCTCACCTTGTGCCAGTGCCTCTTGCAATGTCCTCTCTGCTATGGTCCCATGACTGAATCTAACTCTGCCCAGTTATCACGCTTGGTTGGAGGAAAGGCTCCCGTGTCCCTCATAAACCAGTGGGTGAAATGATCCAATGACCTGGAGACAACCAGAGCACGAGCGGTCTGGGAGACTCAGGCTGGGGCCGGGCCCCACCTGTCCCCCTGACCCCAGTTAATTTGGAGAGGTCAAGTCTCGTTTCCATGAGTGAGGATAAAGAGCAGATTGCCAAGGCGGACTCCTCTAACAAGCATTTACAAATTACTGTGCTCTGTCTGAAGCCCGGACTCTGCAGATGAGTCTCCCACTGGCTTATCTGGATTGGAATGAACAAGCCTGCGGGGAACATCTGGAAAAATCTGCGGCTCTGCAGAACCCTCCCTACCGTGCTTTGTGGTGACCATTCTGGAGACAGTGGAGGGATAGAGGGGCCCTTTCCCATCGTGTGCAGCCACCTCCTACTCGAAACACCAATGAAGCCATATTTGCTTTTTTAAAACACATTAGGTTGCGATAGCTGTTCCAGAGAAGAACTAACCCAGCCAGTGGTGTTATTTCCCTTGGTTTTACTTCTTGCCTGGCCTCTTATTAGTGTGGCTGTGTTTCTGGAGTGCTGAGCATGCGAATGTGTGAGTGTGTGTGTGCATCCCTGCACAGCTGGGTGACTGCCCTGCAGAGAGCTGCCTGGGCACGCAATGTGGGGGAGAAAGCAACCACCCACCAAGGGTTCCCAGTGAGTAGCTAGTTTCACTCTGGGTTTTGAGAGGCCCTGGCAAAGCCCCAGGCGCTTAGAGCAGCTATGACAAAACTTTGGATGGTTTCAGAAGCGTGAGAAAGGTGCTAGAGGGCATGCCCCACGTGCATATGCGGTGTCTTAGCACCTGAGATCCACTGGGGGCCAGTGGGGAGCACAGGCTGGTGGCTGATCACAGGACTGTGCTTTGTAAGGGAGGGCTTCCTGGCTTGGGGCGGAGGAAGCAGATGCCAAGCTGAATATGTGCCCACTGCTGGTTCTGTTGTGGAGGGTGGGCCTGAGAGCCGCCCGTCTTGATGCTTGGTATATTATAAATCCCAGGGAGCACAGGACCAAGTTCTTAAAGAGCAAAGAACCATTCAAGACCCCAGAAATCAGAGGCAGATCCAGGTTTTGTGGGGACTACATTTTGAGGCCCTCTGTTAGAAAACTAATATAAAATTATGAATATAGACTTAGTATGAAAATGAATATTTATTCAGAATGAAAAAATAAATCACATTAAACCAGTGGTGCTTGCAGATTGATGTCCCATCTTTTTGGTTTCTCCTTAGGCAATTTACCAGACGCTCTTCCACAGAAACACTTCCTGGTGACACCCTGGCCTCCCCCTGCTCCTAGAACATTCTGCTACTCTATGTTCTCGCTCGAGAGCAGATCCAAGCTTATGCCTCATCAGCCTCTTCCCAGAATGGACTCTTGATCTGCTCGAATGACAATAACAACATAAATATCTTCCATTTGCTTCATCCACTCATTATGGGCTATATATTACAAGATATATATTTACACAAACATTTACAGCAATGTTTTTTTCTTCACACCTGTCTGGGAAGCTTGTGAAATGCAGATTTCCAGGCCCCCTTCCAAGGGGTTTGTCTGAGTCAATAGCCTGATACCATACACCTGAGGCCAGGTTAATCTGCTCTGGCGAAGAAACCACATCTGAGAATGGAGGGTGCCAGGGGCTAGGGGAGGGGAATGGAAAATTACTGCTCAATGGGGACAGAGTTCCAGTTTCGCAAGATGAAAAGAATTCCAGCGGGGCCGGCCCTGTGGCCAAGTGATTAAGTTCTCACGCTCCACTTTGGCAGCCCAGGGTTTCACCGGTTCGGATCCTGGGCGTGGACATGGCACTGCTCGTCAGGTTGCCAATCTTTAAAAAACAAAAAAAAGTTCTGAGGATGGATAGTGGTGATGGTTGATAATAATGTGAATGTACTTAATGCAACTGAACGGCACATTCAAAAATGGTTAAGATGGTAAATTTTGTGTGTATTTTACCACCAAAAAATAAACAAGTAAAAAGATAGCACATCTGTACTTGGGGCTACTACTTGATTGAGTTGGCAGTAGGTTGTCCTCCAAGATCCATCTGGTTTTCACCGGAACTAGATTGGTCAATTAAATGAAACTATGATGCATCTTTTAGGCCTTTTAAGAGTGGCATTAATTTTTGCCATTCTGGAAATCTAGAGTGTTTTAATTTATTTTCTTAGTTGGGGGCAGTTTAGAGGTTTGTACTTTTTTAAAAACAATTTGTTAGTAATCTTATGATAACTTTAGCATCTTATTAATATACATAGTGTTAATTTGATTGATGCAAATTATCCTTCCATTCAAAATTAACAGTCTATTTAAAAAAAATTACACTCAACGATAGGCATGCAGAGCAGGGCTTCACTTCTAAGCAGAGCATGAGACGGGAAAGTAATAAACTGAGAGACATGTATTTTCCCACTATGCTTTCATTCATTTTTCTTGTATTTGTTTTTTATCTACCTTTGCTTTTTCTTTAATTCCAGTTTAAAAACATACCATACTGAGTTCTTCATTTTACCAACCTCATTAACAAGACTTTGTCATGTTTAGCTCAGGTATGGAGAGCTGGAGGATTCTGTAATATGAATGGAGCAGAGCAAACTATAGTGAAAAACTCTCATGTGTTCTCATCGTTCTATTTTTGAATTCACATGTCATAAGACTGTTTTCCAGTAAGTCAGATGTGATTATCTGAACTCCAAGAAATCGCTGATTTAGAGGTTTACACTTGACCTTCCCCACTATGATAGCTCTCACCCCCCAGGCCACAGAATTAATGTGGGGGCTGTGCCATATATGAAATCTCTATATTCCAATTATACTTTGGGGGACCAGAGAAATGACCCCAGTGTCCACACACTCAGTGGGCCAGGACTCCATTTGTTACCTGGCCTCCACCATGTCTCCACTCTAAGAGGGACATGTGATGACACTTTGGATCCCCAAGGATCAATGTGAACTCGGACCCTATGTCCAATGGTCCTGAAATGTTTGCACATTCCATCTCTCCTAGGGTACAGTTATCCAAACAGGTGCCATGGGATCCTTCGAGGAAGGCCAGGAGGAATCATTACTATATAGATTTGCTTCGGGTGGCTTGGTCTTGGGGACCCAGCCTTCCTTCAGTCAGTGGGTTCCAGATCCAAAACTTGTCTTAGGTATGAAAGGCGGGCAAGGGATCGTTACTTTTTCTTGGGGCCATTGCTGCAGTCTCTGATGATTCATCCTTCATTTCCTTTAATTGTACAGACTGAGCAGTGCCTTGTTAGCTGCCCAGCTGTTTTGCCTCTCCGGACCCCAGGTTCTCTTAGCCACCTCCATAACCCTCTGTGGGTCAGGCCTCCTGCCTGCCACCCTGTCTTTGCTGCTTCTTACAATAATTCCGATCTCTTGGCTTCTGACAGTTAAGGGCTGCCACCAGGCCTCTGCTGTTTTGAGGTCCATCATCCTGGATGACGGTGATCCTGGTCTTGTAGTGGCGTCTCCTACTGTCAGCCACCACTCTGCTTTTCACTGCTGCTGGTGCACCTTCGCCGTGCCTTCCTTACTAATTTGGTAAATGGTGTATCCTCCCAAGAAACCCACTCTTCTGGGGTTTTTCCAGCCTTATAGAGCATGTCCACTGAAGCACCGCCCCTCCTTGGAGCCTTTTAAGCACAGCTGGTCTCACTTAGCGTGGGACATCATCTCATCCGTGCTGCTAGGAGCCATTTTAGTAGGGTGATTCCCCCATGTCAACTCAGGGGCAATAAATCCAGTATCCTGGGACAGTGCTAGATGTCAGAAGGTGGACCCTTTGGCAGGGAGGGAGGGCTTGCAAGGGGTGTGAAGCAGCGCCGGCAATGTTCTGTTTCTTAATTTGGGAGCTAGTTACATGTGTTTGTTCACTTGATGTAAATTTATCAAAAGTACACCTAAAATATGTGCACATTTCTGTATACGTCTTATACCTTGATACAAAGTTTTTAAAAACAAGTCTAGTTTTGTAGTTTTTCTGTGTGCTTTTCTCCAGCTATGTTCAGCCACATGGTTGCATGCATG